TTTCATTAAATACTTTATTATTAAGGCATAAGCTAAATTATTTATTAGTTAATACCTTATTCCTTACTAAATTAACTATAATAGCTTATTATATTATAGCTAAAATCTTTATAACGTTATATAAAAAAGCAAGTAAATATTAAAAGACTTAAGATTAATAAAGAAAGATAAATAAAAGCATATAATTAACTTTCTTACTTATAATTATTATAATAACCTATTAAGCTTATACTTATATAATCCATCCCTTAATATTTATTACTAAAGTATATTATAAAACTATTAATATAATATACTTTTTAAAGATTAAGCTTATAACTTATATAATTAATTTATTTATTAAGATAAGGAGATTTTAATTATTAATAAAAAGGTTATCGCTATTATTTTTATTATAGCCACCCTTACTTATATAATTAAGAATTTAAGCATATATTTAGCTAAGTAAACCATTAATGCTAAGATTAATAAGGCTGCTATTTTAATGCTAGCTATTAAGGTTAGCTAATTATTTAATAAAGTTTAAAAGCCTTAATCCCTTGCTAATATTTTTTATTACCTTAACTTTAGCCTTAGCTTATTTACCCTTCGCTATAAATATAAGGCAATCATTAGCCTTTTTAATAATAATAAAAATAATATTAAATTTATTTACTTAACTACCTTAAAGTTTAGTTTTAATAACTTATTTATATTTTTAATTAAGAAAAAGGTTAACGTTATTTAATTTAAAAAGGTAAATTTAATTATTATTGCTATACTTCTTAAGATTAAGAACTTTTATATAAATATTATTATATTTATAAGCAAGTTTAAAAAGATTATTAACCTTAAGTTTAACTTATATTATTTTATTATTATTAACTTTCTTAATAGCTATTTTATTTAATATAATAATATAATTAATATTAATAGCTAATGCATTATCGTTATCTTTATTTATAATAAATATATAATTATAACTTTAATCTTATATATTTTCTTTATTAATTTATATAAAGCTATTAATATTTTATGTTTTGCTAACTTAAATAATAAAATTAATTACATTCTTATTAGCTTTATTTTATATAAATTGCTATATATAAATTAAAACTTTAGCATTATTAAGATCCGCTATAATAAGGATAATTAAATTAACTGCTTAATTATTATTTATACTTAAAAGATTAAGTTTAATAACTTTTTAATTATTATTAGCTAAGATATTATATATAACTATATAATTAGCTTAATTAATTATATTAAAACTTATAATATAATAAAGTATTATATATTAATTAATAATAAGGTTAATTTAGTTACTATTAATATTATTAATAATGCAATTAATATAATTTAAAAAACCATTAATAATAATTATAGCGATAATAATGCTGCTAATATTAATTAAGTAAAACTAAATGCTAAAGATCTTATAATTATATAATTATACTTATATTTTACTATAATAAAAGTTAAAAGGAAATAATATTATTTTTATTTTGCTTTATTTTAAAAGGATTTATTATAAATAAAAGTAATTTAAGTTTTTTCTTTTAGTAATTAATATATTAATTAATTTATAAACTAATAATTTTATATTAATATAAAAGAATATTATAGAAATAAAATACGCTAATAGCTATAATATTTATATATATAGCTTAATCCACCTTATAAGCATATAATTATGCTTATTACTTTATTTATCTTATTTTAAGAATAATACTTAATGAATTTATAATAAATTTATAATAAATTTATAATAAATTTATAATAATAATTAAAACTTTTATTATAATATTATAAAGATAAATTAAACTTAAAACCTTATTGCATTTAGTTATTATATTCTTTATATTATAGCGCTACTTATATATATTCTTAGCTTAATTGCTTTATTATTAATTGCTTTAATAAATCCGCCTTATATAATTTACTTTATTATTATTAAATATAATAAAAATAAATTAGGTTTTATTAACATATTAAATTAAAGTATACTTTGCTATTTACTTAAGAATAAAAGTTAGCTTATTATATTATTTATAAAAAAGATTTTTTAATATTACTATTAATTACTTTTATTATATTAAATATCCTAGCTAAATTATAAATATATTTATATAATTATTTCTTTTTAATGTTTAAAGTTTATAATAATAGCTAGGATATCTTATTAAGAACTTTTATATTTTCTTTATTGCTTTTCGCCGCTATTAAGGCGGCTTTTAAGGTTTAAACTCCCTATTTATTGCCATTTCTTGGATTTACTTAAGTTTATATTATTTATTAATATTATAAAAAGATTATGCTTAAAAATAAATTATTTATAAGAAGGAATTTAATATAATATAAATAAATTATAATAAATTTATAATAAATTCGCTATAAATTTATAAGTATTTATAAATTTATAATACTTTTATAATAAATTTATTGTAAATATATGGTTTTATAGTGAATTTACTATATATATATTTAGATAGAGAAATTCCCCGTGAATTTACCTTGAATTCACGGGGGATATTGAATTTTAAACCTTTGTTTCCATTAAATAATAATGCTATTATTAATATGCAAAACTATTTATTAATAAATTAATAAGAACTTTTAAACTTAATAATTAAGCAATATATTAAAAAAATATAAGCTTCTTAGCCTTAGGGCTAAGATTACCATTCCCTTAAAGCTTAATATTTCCTATATATACTTATATTAATTATTAATAGCTAAGTTAAGCCATAGGGATTTCTTAAAGTATTATAAGAGGTTTAATTATTTTAATGCTAACATTTTATGTACTTATAATCTCTTAAAGTTGCCTAAATATATTTTTTAATGCATTAAAATCCCTAAATAATTTTAAAAAAAGCTAATACCTTTTCTTAAAGTTATTGTTAATTAAATAATTAGCATAAGCTTTAAATACTTTATTAATTTAGCAATACGCTTATATTTCTTTAATTACGCTGCTAAGTAACTTAATAAACTTTCTATTCCCTCTTTATATGTTTTTATCCCCTTTTATTTAGCCATTAAGCCTTAGCAATAAGTTTAATAATTCTCCCTTAAAAGATTGCTTTTTAAGCTTTTATAGCAAGTTCCCCTTATAGGTTACATTATTATTCTTTAGCATATATTTAACTAAAATAAAGTGCTTAAAAATAAATATTTATACGCTTTAAGCCTAATAATTTAATAATATAAGAATTAAGATAAGCTTAAAAAAAGAAAAGTTAAAAGAATAATAAGTAGAAAATAGGAATTAAGGGATTTTCTTTTTTAATAGGTTTAGCGCTATTTAATGCCTTTTCTTATTGCTTAGGTAACCCTATATTTCAAGGCCTTGCTTATTTATAATTAGGCTTTTTCTATCTTTTAAGTTTAACCCCCGTTCATTAACATGCCTTAATATCCCCATTAGTATAGGATAGGTTATAGGTTACTTGGCGGTGCCCTTATGGCACTGCCAGGGCCTACGGCCCTGGCGTCTATCAACTTCTCTCTCTAGGACGATACTAAGGTCAGCTCTGTGTCACATTCCCACTGTGGCTTGTACGGTAAACGGCTCTACCCCTGAAAGCGCGTCCGATCAATCAGCAGCAAGGGAGACGAAATGGCTTCTCAGACCCATCCTTGATGTCAAATTCTCAAAGGATGGGGATCCCAACGATCGGCGGTGCGTCTATCAACCGCCCTATATGGAGCAATCCACCCTCATTCTTGGTTCAAATAGCACAATTAACGATAAGGGTAGAATATCCAATTGAAAGTCACCCAGGATTGGGGCTGATAGAAGGACGAGGACGTGATCAACACGGCAGTACTCACTCACGCCTAATCGACACATACCATGCAACATCTCGGTTCGACTGATTACGGGAGAATTGGACTCGGTAAGTAAAAGTTTATTGTTTTCTATGTCTCTAATTCACCTTTCCAGATCCGGGCGACCTTTGGCTCCACTCCACCTGGCCAGTATCCCACTTAATTCTTAACAGCTTCTGAGAGCCGTTATATCCGGCTACGTGAAGCATAGTCTAAACCGTTCCCCCCTACAGTTTACCGTGACCGATTTGGGGTTGGCCATGTACTTCTGCAGCAATCTGCAGCAACGATCGACAGCAGTTCTTCAAAGTCTTGGCTGCACAGTAACGTCTAATGAGACCTCGCCACCACCAACTTTTAAATTGACATCTAGGTTCACCGGCCAGAACCGGTCTCCAGACCACGCCCTTGCCTACACATGCACAGATGTGCTCCACCGTGACCTCTTGGTGGCGTATGCTCGTGTGCTCACCATGATCCTCAGGCTGACCATCAGCCCATACAGTGAGCGTACATTTCTCCCCCGGGGCGCGCCACGCTAGTATCTTCGGAGCGGAGCCAAGGCTTTGTATTGAAGAGTTGCGCTGAGGCTGCAAGACGCCCACGATATCAAACTCCCACTCACATCCACAATCGAAACCGCGTGCTCCCACGCGGCACAGCCATTGGCTCCTGCACCCCCGCGAACCGGCTCCTTGGGCCGAACTTGGCATCTCCCGCCCAGCTTCCGCCCACTTCCGCCCAGGGCCTTGGCCGCTCGGCGGACGCTTAATATCCTGCTGTTGGCCTGCACCCTTGCGTCGGCTGCGGGCGAATAAGGCAAGGCTGTATGATGTCCCGGGTTTGTCCAGCAGGTTCAGCTGGTGAAAGAGGTTCACCAAGACTTGTCGAGATTTTCTAGTGTATGCCGTTGGCCCACAGCTTCCAAGAATCCAGGCCCGATTCCTAGATTCTCCCAAGACTTGGGAAAGGCAATAACGTCGCGCACATGCAAGATGTAACTCAGTTCATTGGTTCAGGGGCTTGTCATCCCGTGCGAGAAGCTTTGGTCATATTTCCTGCCTGCAGTTGTGGGACGGTATATAGACTCACGGACATTCTCCTGCATGGCATGCTGCATGGTTGCAGCGACATCCAAGTAGGCACGCCAGATTGTCAACTTCTGTTAGATACTCCAAGTGAACAAGATGGCTGCGCTTCCCCAGTTCGACTATCTTTTCGCTATTGGCACCATATTCTCGTTCCTCGATGCGTGGAACATCGGTATGTCTCCTCTGGGCCTAGAAAATCATGGCGTGGTGTTGCTTCTAGATTCTGTCCTTGTCATCGCCCCGAGAGGATTCCGTCTGACAGTGTATTTTAGGTGCCAATGATGTTGCCAACTCTTTCGCGACATCAGTCGCCTCCCGATCCCTTACGTTGAAGCAGGCCATGGTCATCGCTTCGTGTATGGAGTTCGCCGGTGCCATGGCCGTCGGTGCTCAGGTCACAGACACGATCCGCACCAAGGTCATCTCCACGAAGCTCTTCGAGTCCGACCCGTCCGTCCTCATGCTCGGTATGGTCTGCGCCATCGTGGGGTCGTCCGTATGGCTTACAATCGCAACTCGCTTCACCATGCCCGTCTCGACGACGCACTCCATCATGGGTGGCGTTATAGGCGTGGGTATTGCTGCTATCGGTGCCGACGGTGTCAACTGGGAGTGGGATGGTGTTTCCCAGGTCTTCGCGGCGTGGGCAATTGCGCCGGGCATTGCTGGGATCTTCGCGTCCATCATCTTCCTCGCAACGAAATATGGAGTCATGCGCAGGAAGAACCCGGTCAAGATGGCTTTTATCGCCGTTCCATTTTACTTTTTCCTCACATCGGCCCTGCTGACCATGCTTATCGTGTGGAAAGGTGGCTCGGCCAGGATCGATCTGGAGGACCGGGAGCTTCCTGGTCCCATTCTCGGTGTGGGTGCCGGTGTCGCGCTTCTCGTCGTCGTGTTCTTTATTCCGTATCTCTACCGCAAGATTCTCAAGGACGATTGGCAGTTGAAGGGGTGGCAAGTCATTGAAGGCCCTCTTCTACTCCGACGTCCCGATCCACCAGCTCGTCCCGAGGGTGTCCAAGAGGGTGGCATCCGAGACTATTACGAGGGACATTTGACCAGGGATGAGCTTGACGCCAGGAGAGCTGCCGCGGGACACTCCAACGATATCGAGAGACACCCGATAGGAGAGGGGGCCGATGCCAACGAGAAGGGTAGTTCTGCCTCAGACATCATCCCGGCGCCTCGAGCCAACGAGAACTCCACGCTGAAGGACAAGCCGATTGATCCCAAGCTCGCCGCCCCACCAGGACCCTTGTACGCACCAGCTGTTGCGTTCTTCTGGGCAAAGTACTGGTTCTGGCATGGTGTCGATCAGGAGGTCGTGTCGGCCCAGGGAAAGAGGGACTTCCTCTCGGGCGACATCGAAGCCATACACGCTACCGGCGAACACTTCAACAACGAAGGTAAGCAAGCACCTTTCACATGTGTTCATGTGTACCGGAAATATACTAATTCCTGCCAGCTGAATATACCTACTCCTTCCTCCAGATCCTCACCGCCTCCACCGCCTCCTTCGCACACGGCGCCAACGATGTGTCCAATGCAATCGGCCCCTACACCACAATCTATTTCATCTGGCAGACAGGAGAGATCAACTCCAAGGTCCCCGTGCCGACCTGGATCCTGGCCTTTGGCGGCGCGGCCATCGTCGTCGGCCTCTGGACGTACGGCTACAACATCATGCGCGCGCTCGGCAACAAGATCACCCTGCACTCGCCGTCGCGCGGCTTCTCGATGGAGCTCGGCGCCGCCATCACCATCATCATGGCCACCAAGCTCAAGCTGCCCGTCTCGACCACCCAGTGCATCTGCGGCGCGACCGTCGGCGTCGGCTTCTGCAACGGCACGTGGAGGAGCATCAACTGGCGGATGGTCGCGTGGATCTACATGGGCTGGTTCATCACGCTGCCTTGTGCTGGTCTGATCTCTGGCCTGCTCATGGGTATCGTCCTGAATGCTCCTCGATGGGGAACTGGTATTTAGGCGATTCTGCCTTGAGGCAACATCCGCGAAAAGGGGCCAGAAGGGCTGCGGAAAAGGCAAGGGACGAGAGACTTGTAGAACGAAAGAATGATTTAGAGCACCGGGCTGCCGCACTCTTTAGAATCCGAGCATGAGCGAGATTATATGCTTTCACTGATTCCACAATAATAAATTAGTTTATTGAAAACAAAAAAGCTCCTCCTCATAGTCTTGCTTCACCTAGCAGTTCCTGTTACACCGGGGCTGGGTTCCTTGTTCCTCCAATGATCCAAGTCAAGGTAAGACGTGAACATTTTTGTGCCTCCGGGGTCATGAGGACCACATATGCTGTAAAAGAGTGTAATATTCGGTGTTTAATGTAGCTCGACCTTCAATCTAACGTTGATCCTACTGGAAACCTAACCACAAGCAACACATATCCCCAAACTACCTCCCGCCTATTGACTCTCTAGTCTGCATGCCATGATTCTACTAGCTAGCAGCTGCATCCACAGTCCCCGCAAGGTTTAAGAGACTGCCCACAATCATAGCTGGTCTTACAGTCCTTGTCAGCGCCGCAGGTGTACCAGTCGCCGAACCCTCCGTTGCGGGCGGTCCAGCACCATGGCCCCTCGCCCGAGCCTTTACATTTCTTCCAGCAGTAGCCCTTGTCGCAGCCTTTGTCCTTGGAGCCGTAGTAGCACTCCCTCTTGTCAAGTGAGTGCTCGGGTGTCGTTTCATTACTAAGGGGATGATCGACGCAGGTTCGGACCTGGCTGGGGTCAACGCCAGGAGGCAGGGCGGTATCATTGTTGCCGGTGACGCCTAGGTCGCCGCATTTGGCGACTTCCGATGGGGTTGGAGGGGAAATTGCGTTGGCAGCCTGGGCCAGAGCCATGATGAGGGCAGCGTTGAACTTCATTTTGGAAGAATGAAAGCTGAGAGTCGGATTTAGCACGGAGGCCAGGTCTTCGTTGAACTCCAGGCACCCAAAATCGGCCACCAGGGAAAGACTTACTTGGATTGGATAGATATATCTTTGCTTCTTTGTGTAGCTGTAGAATGTATGAGTGAGTTGTGGATGAGAACATGGTTCTCTATCACATTAGAAAGACGATGAGCACGGCTAGATTTATACTTCTCAATCAAGTCGCCAAGAAGTCATCTCTACTCTGGCTAGATGCTGAAAAGCACATTGCTTCTGTTGGCATCATTTCACCTGGAGCTTACTCATTTGAGACGTGCCTTCTTCTTGGCAGTATTGAGGTCTTACAATTTGTACAGACTAAACAACATTCGGGATCATGGTGCCGCCTCTTCTACAACTGAACAGGCAAAGTGCTGCTGCCAATGGGAGCGGCGCCACTGGTCTGGTGATGCGAAATGAATCATAATCGGTCAACCGAGATCCTCAGACTCTGGAACATCGTTCGATATGTGAGCCTGGCCTTTAATGTCATGGGTTTAGTTCTGTACAATAGCCAATTTTAATCATACAAAAGGACTGAAGATCCGACACAAGGCTGGACGGTGCTGAGTGATGGCATCCATACCAACGGCGCCTTGGCTTTGAATACGAGCTGTCCTTCTGGAAAAGCTTCAGCTGGAATGTTAATTTGAACTAGACTGGCGGCAATATTTCTTAGTCATAGACCACAGTCCACCCAATGCGGACATATGTCTCAGTGCCTAACAGTCAGCAAGCAGCCATCCGTCTTATCCTTGCTACAAAACCGCCAACCTCTGTTCACCGAGTAAACATCCTTCGACGGCGATCTGACACTTGCCATGCTGGGTGTTTCTTGTCAGGCAGATTCTGCAAGCCCCTCTTGTCCGGCATCCCGGATCGGTCAGCTGGCGACCAGAGGACTTACACACTTCCATAATACATGGTACCCTAGAGGTTCCATAACCAGGTTGGTCATAGCCCTGTAGAAGGAGGAGTCCACGGACGAGGAAGGAAATCTCGAGACTCGTATTGAGTATAAAACGTTAGAGACAAAGCCACTGTCCGAAGAGCGAGGAATCAAGACAAAAAGAGAGAAAAAGAAAAAGGATCTAAACGTGACACACTTGCACGCTTCAAGAGCTTGAACAGTGTTTTCCTGATCATAGTGAACACTTTTAATTTATGAAAAATCTCAGAATCTTCGTCAATGTTGATAGCCCTGAGACTAAAAGCCCGCCACATTGTACAGCCGGCAATATTAAGAACTATGTCAAATATATATTCATAATTACTCAACCACATGGAGTGAAGCCATGACAAGTATGTCAGGGCAGAGCCTAACTTAGGCTTTCCACATACCACTGAGTCCCGTATAACGTCCCCGGCCCCGATCCCGGCCGCCTCCTGATCCCGGCCGGCCCATACCCGCGTATATGCATAAACGCGTTTATACCCACCCTATATTAACTCCTTAATATTTTTATAAGGAATTTTTTTTTAATTATTAAACTTCTTTTAAATATTATTCTTCTTATTATAAAGTAATACTTTAAAGATAATTTTATTAATGCCCTTATTGCTATAAGAAATAAAATATTAACTTAGCAAGCCTTTAAAATATAATATATCCTTTAAGCTATATTATTTAATTATCTTAATAGTATTTAAAGCTATTATATTATTATTAATTCTTAAAAGCTTTTTTAAATTATTAAAAGGCTTTATTAACTTTATTTATAATTAATTAAAGTAGCTTAAAATTAGCATTAATATAATTTAAAATAAGGGCTTTAAAAGCTTAATTAATCTTTTTAAATAAAAACTACCCTTTTCTTAAAAATAATTAATTAAAAGCTTTTCTTTTTTATTACTTTATTTTTAAAAATTAAAAAAGTTAATATATAAAGGCTATTTATCTTTCATTAATTATTAAAAAGAATATTAAGTTTTAATTTAACCTTTTTTAATTACTTATTATTAAATTTATTTAATTAGCTTATTATTAAAATATTAATAAGAAAGGGTTAATAAAAGGTTGCTTAAAAATGCCCTTATTTTTAGCTATTTAAATAATAATTCTTTATTATAAAAGAATTTTAATTTAAAAATATAAATTTCTTTTATAAAATATATATTTATTATAAATAAGTTCCTTAACTCTTTAATTATATTTAAGGAACTTAAGATATAATAATAATAATTTCTTATTACCTTTAAAAATTATAATAATTAGCAATTCATTATAATAAAAAAAGAATAAATAAAAAAGAAAATAGTTATTAAATAGCTTAAAAGGGTATTTATTTCTTAAATTACTTTTTTAAACTCTTTTAAGTAATAATTATTAATTATAAATAAGCATTATATATATATAATTATTAACTTTATATAAAAATACTTCTTATATTAAATATATATAGTTTTTTTACTTATATATACTTTTTATATATTATAGCTCCTTAATATATTAATATTCTTTTTATTAAAAATAATATTTTAAAAGTATTTATATTTAATAATATGGGAATAATACATATAAGCATTACATGCAGCATGCCCATGCAGTAAATGCGCTGCAGGCAATATATAAATTTAAAGGTATAAGGTTTAAACTAATCTTATTAATAATAGCTATCAGCTAATGCTAGCCGGCTACTAGCTAGCAATTATATACCCCGCATATAAACCACCATAGCTAGCTTATAGCTAAATAAGGAAAGGCTGCAGCTTTGCTATAACCTACCCTTTACATTATAGCCAAATTAATTACATACTTTATTTATTTATTACTAACCATATAAAAGCTAAATTAATATTAATTAATAATTATTAAGGTAATTATAAATAATTAAGTTTAAAGAAATAGCCTTGCTTTAATAGCAATTTAATTTCATTATTAATAGCAAACCATAAATATCTTTTCTTAATTAGCAATAGCCTTAAATAGCTAATTAAAAGCAATTATACTAATTAATAATTATTATATGCTGCAAATTTACATAGCGCAGTTTATAATATTAATAAATACTTAATATATAAAGAGGTAATTATTATAGCAAGAAACCATAGCAAACTCCCTTACCCTTAATATATATATATTTATCACACCTTAAGCAAAGCTAATAATAATAGCTTTTAAAGCTAATGATTAATCTTAAATAAAAGTATATATTAGCATTTACTTTTACTAACCTTTTTCAACCCCTTTATTAAGCATACTTAAAAACATTACATTAAACACTTTATTGCAACATTCTTAAGTAATCGCAACCTTCCCAGCTTATTAAAAGCCCTTTCACAATATCCTTACATTAAAAAGCCCTCCTCACGACAACCTCAAGAAGCCCTCGCTTGCGATTAGCACCCTTAAGAAGCCCTTGTTTGCAACCAACGCCCCTTAGGGCACCCACACGACACCCTTAAGGCCTATAACCCTCTAAAAACCCCCCCAAGTACTTAACAAAACACAAAGCGCTTAAATACTCTAAAGTATTAATAAAAAACGTTTCTTTTAAGCAATTTATACACTTAATTAATACCCTTAATCCAATACTTTAAAGTATTAATTAATAAATAAGCCATTAATACAATCATCTTATCTACTTAGTTAGCTTAAAACTATTAAAGGAAATAATTAATATTTACTATTAATTCAACTATATAAATAACTTAATTAAACCTTTAAAACATTTACCTTCCAACGATAATTAATATCTAATTAATAAGCACAACCTTCCCTTTTTTTAACGCCCTTTTTATCAATACCCTTTAACAAGATCTTAAGCATAAATTGCCCCAAAGCTAATAAAGGTTAATTTACCAAGCAGTAATAGCATTTAAGCACTATTACCTATAAATAAATAATTTAAAAGCTAATTATTAATTTATAAACACAACGCAAGAACATTCTCCCCTTCCCCTTTACCTTACAATTAATTATTACAAGATCTACCTTAATAACAACAACCTTAATAATAATAATACCTTACTATTAAATAAGAGTAATGCTTATCACTAAGTAAAAATAGCCTTATTACTAAGCAAAAATAGCCTTATTATTAAGCAAAAGTAGCCTTGCCATTAAATAAAAATAACCCTATCATTAAAAAAATAACAATTATTATTAAGTAAAAATAATATTTAACATTAACTATAAAAAAGAAGTTATTAAAGTAATAATTAATTAATTAAAGCATAATATTTAAATACTTTAAAGCTTTAAAGTATTATTAAATAAATAATTTAATTAAGTAATTTAAATAATTTAAGCATTTAAATCATTTAAGCATACTTACACTTAAATATTATTGGCGGGTGTAGGGAATTACGTAAGAAATGGTACCGCATTAAATTCCGGCTGGTTATAAAAAGCTAGCTTTTACGCTTATTTTAAATATTCTTTTAAAAAATTAACTTTTTTCTTTTTTTATATATTTAGTGCTTTAATTAAGCTTTTCTTATTTTTAAGAATTTTTAAAATATTTATCTTTTCTTTTTCTTTAATTCCTTTTTATTTTTATTTTCTTTTTTTATTGCATTAAAGCTTTTCCTTAAATTATTCTTAATAAGATTTAATAAAATTTATCCTTTATTATTTAAATAGCTTATTTTTATTAATAATTTAACTTAAGTATAATTTTAATCTTATATATCTTTAATTAATAATAAGAAAAATAAAAAATTAATTATAAGCTAATTATTTATTAATTTTATTTCTTTTTATTTTTATATTAAATATTATTAAATTATTTTATATATTAACTTAAAGCTTTAATTAAAGCTTATATTTATTTTTAATTTATTATAAAAAAGAATTAAATATAATTAAATTTATAATAATATTATAAATATCTTAAAATTATTTTTTAATTTTAAAATACCTTTTATACTTTTAATATTTAAATAAAATATTACCTTAATTTTATATTAATATATTATTAAGCTTTAAATTTATTTTAAGTTTTTTATTAAAG